ATTTTTTTTTTTTTTTTTTTTTAATTTTTTTTTTCAATGTTTATTTATTTTTGGGACAGAGAGAGACAGAGCATGAACGGGGGAGGGGCAGAGAGAGAGGGAGACATAGAATCGGAAACAGGCTCCAGGCTCCGAGCCATCAGCCCAGAGCCTGACGCGGGGCTCGAATTCACAGACCGCGAGATCGTGACCTGGCTGAAGTCGGATGCTTAACCGACTGCGCCACCCAGGCGCCCCTGCAAGCCAACTATTTTATGTAGTAGTCAACCAAAAACAAACTACCCAATACTTTAGTGCACTTTATGAGAAGTTAAAATCTTTTCAAAAATAATTTTGACTATGTAAACTGTATCTAGATTATTATTGTAAGAACCTGATCTCCACTTAAAAGGCAGCTCCTCTTAAGTAAATGCCTGACAACTTCCAGCTCTCACTGGCCATACCAAATTTCCTGTAATTATACTCTAAGAAGTTCCCTAGGAACTTTCAAATGCCCCTCCCTTTTTCTTTAAGCTAATGTGAGTAGGCTTCTGTTCCTTATACTCAGATGTTCTCTCCTAATAACCTGCTGAAGCCTTTTCATGCCCAACAGTACAAATAGTCAAAAGCAAGAAAGCTTTTTTAGAATCAGACAAGATCTCTATTGGAACCATGGTTCCATCACCTAATAGTTCTATGACTTTGGAGATGTCATTTAACCTCTATGAATCCATTTTCTATATTTGTACAATGGAGTTATTAAGGCTACCTACATCTCATAATGCTTTTCTGAAGATTAAATGAGAAAATGTATATTAAGTACTTAGTACTGTGCTTGGGATATACCATCTAATCACTAACAGTAACTACTAGGCGGAATCCCTACTGAACCCATTCCTTCTCGGGATGGCTCCATCAACTGCTCTTATTTCCATGGTATTTTGTAAAATTCCATAAAATTTATGCAAGTGAACAAATCTATTAACAAAGTAGGATTTGTATGAAACGTAGGCTACTCTTCTATCTTTTCTAGGCTCACAAAGTTAATTTAGTATTCCTGTATCAGTTTTGGGGCCAAACAACAGTATTTCCAATAGTACCATATTAACCTGAAAGGTGTTCTACATCCTCCCAGCCACTAAGCCACTAATGTACTCTTCTTTCTAAAATGTGTTTAAAATTTTGGGGCACCTAGGTGGCTCAGTTGGCTGAGCGTCTGACTTCGGCTCAGGTCATGATCTTACAGTTTGTGGGTTCGAGCCCTGCATCAGGCTCTGTGCTGAGAGCCTGCTCAGAGCCTACAGCCTGCCTCAGATTCTGTGCCTCCTCTCTCTCTGCCCCTCCGCGGCTCATGCTCTGTTTCCCTCCGTCTCTCAAAAATAAATGTCAAAAAAAAAAATCTAAAGTGTGTTTAAAATTTTTTAAAAATGTTTATTCATTTTTGAGAGATACAGAGCATGAGAAGGGGAGGGGCAGAGAGAGAGGGAGACACAGAATCTGAAGCAGGCTCCAGGCTCTGAGCTGTCAACATAGTGCCTGATGCAGGGCTCTAACTCATGTACCATGAGATCATGACCTGAGCTGAAGCTGGACACTCAACCGACCGAGCCACCCAGGTGCCCCTAAAGTGTATTTTAAAGGGACCTTACTAATTATCATTTAAGCAAAAAACTTGTAAAGGTTAATAACTCATGGTCATGAAAATCATTCATAACAAATAAAAAATGTTGACATTATCTCTAACAATGAAATGCTATTTGCAGGATTTTATGATTCAGAGATGAGTTTTACACACTCAACTGAATTAAATCCTGTTATCTAATACTAATCTCTAATACCATCTCCAAGAATTACATATTCCAGAGAGATTTCTACTTTTTGAGAGTTGGGGGACTTAGATCTTTTAGCAAACTTATACTGGCCATAAGAATGAATTTTAATAAATTACATCTTTAATATAAAACTCAAATTTCATTTTATACCAAATTATCAAAGCCTTTTCTTGTCTCACTTTTTGTTAAAACTATTAAAAAGGAAAAGCTTTAATAGTTTTAAATTAAAAACTTTAAGACTTTCATATCTGCCTTTTGGTAAAGGTATATTATGAAAATGGCCACCTGAGTGACTGATGGTAAACAGGTATTTTATATTTGTGTAGCAATTAACAGTTTTTAAAACACTGTTAAAAATATTTCACTTAATTCTCACAACCATAGGCATCAACATGGCAACTTTTGATTTTATAGAAATAAAATTCAAGGTCAGTAAAGCAACCACATATGAAAATTAGGATCTAAATTTTCTGACTTCTTGTGCAAAAGCCTTTCCATTTTGTCACACTGTCTTCCACCTGTGTGGTATACAATAGTGGCTAACTGGAATCTGAATAACAGTTACTGCCAAATAGAATGAAAAGAACATTAAAATGAGGTAGAGTGAATAAAATAGGAAAAGTTTCAATTATATTTTGTACTTAAGAAGGGGTTTTATATACAAATACTTAAGTTTTTGAGAATTTAATCAAAGAGAATGCTTGAGAGGTTATGAGGAAATAGAGACACACGCACTTTATTTGCAAATATCTGTGGGTGCACGTAAAGCACTTTTTCTTGTCTTAAACTTCTGTTTGAGTCACAGCGGCAAATTATAACTTCTTTTGGAGAGGAAGAATTCTGCTTGCAGTATGTCCTCGGGAAATGGTTTCACAATCCTTACCATATTTTATAAATAAACAGGGTTACAAAAAAAGGATTCCCTTCAGATAGAAATAACAATTTCTAAGAGAAACTCAGACTTTTCAGAAAGAAATAGAAAGTTAAGCTACTCGGCTAAACATGTATTTTTACTCACATATAGAATCTGTAAGAACTCTTATTCTGGCAAGAGGAAAGAAGAGCTTTAAAAAGGTAATAATACCCTTCCAAATAAAAAGAAGGGTGAACAACAGGAAGGGTGGGTGTGGGAATGAAAGGCTCTGCAAGGTGGGCTCAGGCATGGTTTGAATGAATATTTTCCCAAGACTAGTTTATTAAGAGAATAAACAACATCCTGGTCAAAACAGATAAAATCACAGACTTCTGGGATTCTCTTCAAAGTAAGAATTAACGTAGCTTTTCTCTTAAAAAAAATTTCCCAACCAAAAAAATTAATAATTTGCCATTGCGACTCGAACAAAAGAACTAAAACAGGAAAAAATGTCCCCCTAACATAACTTCCCCAATCTCTCTCTCTCTCTCTCTCTCTCTCTCTCTCACACACACACACACACACACACACACGCATTATTCTTGAATTCAAGGCAAGGCATTTCTTTCCAGCTATATATTACCTAAAGGTCTATAATATTTGGTCCCAGAATTTAAAATAATGTGTAATAGCGCTGTCTGTATAAACTAGAATAGTTTGTTTTCCACACACTTTCTGCATGCTGACAATCTCTTATACCACTTAAGCCTTAGTATTTACCTGAACCTCTGAATTGGAGTCAACAGGCTGTAGTAAAAACCAAGTTTCTTTGCCACTGTGGTTACATAAGTCTTCTTTTTTGATGGCTACTTTTCCTATAGGAAACAATATAAGAGAAACATATTTTGTATAATCATTAGCACTGCTAAAAAAAATCATTAGCACTATTATATGTAATACTTTTAGAAAATATTTTAAAATAATTTGTACCTACTGATATTAAAAAATCCACTTTTTTTTCTCATTAAACTTTTGCTTTAATGGTTCTAAAATTCTATTACAGATTTTTGGTCAAGTTGTTTTCTATATCCTAAAGAATGAAAAAGTGCCTCAGTTCCCCCTGCCCCTTGGCAGACCCTTTTCTGGGTCATTTTGAATCAGGGGATTAGACAAAAATTCAGTTGTATTTACATGCAAATGAATTTTTTAGTATTTACTCAATAGATTCACATTTTTACCCAAAGTTCATTCCATGTAAAAAGCAATGTACAATGACAGTGTAAACTAATCCTCCCAAACCTTTAACACTATGAATAAACCGTATGTTCTATCTAGACAGACATATTTGCATTTAATAAGAGTTCACAAGTTCCAATTAAGAGAAAAAGATGAATACCATATATCACTAACAATTTTAAAAGCGGACTTGAAAATTACAGATTAAGACAATAATTTTCTTTAAAATCTGCTTTTATCAAAACATTATAAACACTGCTTATGTTGCTTCAATGCATACCAAAAAATAATAACAATGATAAATAATAATAATAATAATCAGGGCAGTTCCCTAAAGAGTTTCTACCTCTTAGAGAAAGATACGGTACAATGAACAAAGTTGTATGAGAGAAAGAAACAGAAATGTTCTTATTATAATGAAGTATTTGCCATGTTGGTACAAAGCATTTCCTTCCTCAATTCAAGTTTTAAGAAGCAGACCCAGTTTTGCATACAACTGACAATTTATTCCAAGACTCTACACAAAAGTTTCAACAAAGAATATATACTAAAGTCAAAGTTCACTTTCTTTCATCAGTAAGAATTTCACTTTAAGTGTCCTAATTACACTTCGTGCCCTTTCTCTTCTGATCTATCTTGGTCTTTTAGTTCCACATTTGAAAACTTTCAGAAAACAGTAAAAAGTTTTCTATCAGGATTTATCAATTGTTCTGTATCAAGTGGTAAGGAAAGGTATGACAAGAAAAAAAAAAAACAAAAAAACTTTCTTTAAAAATTTGGAATTAGGTAGTGGTGATGGTTGCACAAATCTGTGAATATACTAAAAACCACTGCAGGGGTGCGTGGTGGCTCAGTCAGTTAAGCGCTTGACTTTGACTCAGGTCATGATCTCACGGTTCATGAGCTCAAGTCCCGCATCAGGCTTTGGGATTGTCTCCCTCCTCTCTCTCTGCCCCTCCTCCCCTGCTCACACTTTCTCTCTCTCAAAATAAATAAACATACATACATACAATAGTTAGATGATGGATGGATGAATAATTAAATAAATAAATAAATAAATAAATAAATAAATAAATAGGATGAAGTCTAATGTAAAGGCCAAAATCTTCTTGTGAATATATGGAATTTATAATTCATTCAAATCTTGAGGAAATAGCACCAGGAAAATAATATATTTCAGTGCTTTTTTTGGTTAAATTTAAGACACAAAATGATGGGAAAACAAATTCTTCCACTACTGGATATATTGATTAAAAGCGAAGTACAGAATTTAGGCACTCAAATATTCTTTACACTGTTGAAGAAGTTTAGGTTAAGAGAGAAATTACACAAATCTCTTGATATGTTTCACCTATGGATTATAGCAAATTCCTGGCAAATCAATATAATACCAAGAATGGCTTAAGATACAGAATTATGACAAAGTATTAAGTAGTGCGTGTCACAAATGATTATGATTATCAAAAGTCTATCGAGTGGCTCCATTTACCAATGAATCTACTCCAGATATGAACATTAAGGCAATGTATAACAGTTTGATACACACACACACACACACACACACACGTACACACAGAAATAGATCTATATATCCTGTAGCTGAAGTTGTTACATTTTGAAAACAACTCATTTCCCCCTTTAAGAATCTTGGTATCTGGGGCGCCTGGGTGGCACAGTCGGTTAAGCGTCCGACTTCAGCCAGGTCACGATCTCGCGGTCCGTGAGTTCGAGCCCCGCGTCAGGCTCTGGGCTGATGGCTCAGAGCCTGGAGCCTGTTTCCGATTCTGTGTCTCCCTCTCTCTCTGACCCTCCCCCGTTCATGCTCTGTCTCTCTCTGTCCCAAAAATAAATAAACGTTGAAAAAAAAAAATTTTTAAAAATAAAAATTAAAAAAAAAAGAATCTTGGTATCTATGCACCATTTATGTCTGCTTTCCAGAAAAATGCAGATATTATCTGGCATGTAATTTTAAGAGAGTTTACTCACCATCCAGTAACTCGCTGAGAGATTTCTGGTTAAGGCCTGATAAGACAGTTTCTAGGATTTTTAGTTTTATACATAATTTATGCATACGTACACAAATATACATGTGTGTATATATTTTCATATTTACAAGTATCACCAAAGCAAGCCCCCAACTTGAAAATTAGGTTTTTGAAAAAGTTTATTTTGAAGTTTACTGGCTTAACTGATTCATTTACTCATTCAACAAATAATCACAATACCACTGTGCTTTAAATGGTGATATGATTTCCAGACTCCGCTAACCAAAATCTATTTAATTAGTAATGCTTCTAAAAACTAGAGAGTAGGAACTCTACTCAGATCGCTGAGTATCCATCTTTATCACATGTGTCTTCCCAAATGAGAATTCTCTTAGTTCACAGGTAAAAATTCCCAGAAGCAAGTACCTTCTCCCTTCTACTGCATATCTTGTGCATCCCTGGCACTCACTGCCATGAAAGAGTTGAATGATTCTGGTCTTCTGAGAGAGAAGCCCTTCTCTGATTAGTTGTAAAAATTCTGTGCCTCTAATGGTCCCAAAGATTATCTCAAGTTTAGTGTTCACCATTTTGAGCAAAGTTAACTCATCACTTTAGTAGCCATGAAATCACCAACCTCAAAAAAACAAAAAACCTCCCAGGAACAAACTACTCAACAAATTATTTAAAGGTACTATTTCATTTCCTCACTATCCTGACAAACTCATAGACAGAAAAAGCTCAGACCAAACACACACACACACACACACACACACACACACACACACACACACACCCCAGATGCTGTATTAGTTCCTTAAAATAAGACAAGGAGAGGAAACACAAAAAGAAATGAAGGAACTGTGGGCACAGAAACTCTTTGTTGGTCTCAAAGTAAAAAAAAAAAGTATTCTCAGCTTTCCAGCACCACTTCTAAACAGCATTTTCTTGCCATCTGTAAAAACTGTGTTATATTTGGGCCCCATTTTTAGATACAACATATTCTTAGAAATTTCATCCTCATACAGATCACCAACTGGCAAATCTTGATAGCCCTGTTCCTACATGGACGCTAGTAGAAATGGATGAAAAGAGCAGATATAAGTAGTGACAACTGTGACTGTCTATACAGGATGAAAATGGATCAGAAAACTGAACAAATTCTGGCACACAGTCAACAACAGCAATTCAATCACAAAACTTAAATGCCCTAGTGTATAGAGTTTAGGGTACATTTTGTTCTCCATGGTAGACTGGTATATTAATGGTCCCCAAAAATCATTCTTCTTTGGTCTATGCCATCGTGTGGTCTTCTCCAGCACAGACTCTGGTTTGGCCATGTCACTTGCTTTTGCCAAATGGGACATCAGCAAATGTGATGCAAGTAGAATCTTACTAAACACCTGTGCAGTAGGGCTTACCCTCTTAAAACCCCAAAACCATATGGAAAGGAAGGCCCAGATAACAGCCAGCACCAGCCACCAGACATATGAGTCAGGCCATTTAGTCCAGTCAATCTTCTGGATAAGTGCACATTAGTGATCCCAGTTGAGACCAATGGAATAACCACCAGTTGAGCTCAACCCAAATTAACAACCCTGAGGATCATGACCAAATATATAGTTGATGTATTTAGCCACCAAGTATTGGAATGGTTTGTTATGTACCAACAGATAAGTGATACAGACCCTATGCAAACAGATATGAAAGTGTCATCTTAGGCAATTTTGACTTCAGAGCTAAATGCCAGCAGAAATTACAAATTGAAAAGTTGGAAAAGACCTTAGCAATCTTAAACTCAGACTTATTTTATAGATACGCCAGGCCTAAGAAGGTAAAGTGATGTGTTTAAGATCACACAGCCAGGAAGTGACAGAGTCATGAATGAATTCAGGTTTCTGATAGCCTAGTGAAATTCTCTTATACTGTTCTGAAACAAGGCGAAAAAAAAAAAACTTGCCTAGGTCAGATAACCACAGTTTAGTTTTTCAGCCTAGATGCCCCTCAAAGTAAAACACCCAGAAAATACACACTATAAGATAAAATATATGTTTTATTTTTCTATTAGAATTCTCACTGGAAATGGAAATACATTCTTACATAAAACTTTTATCTTTTTTCTCTCCTTTTAAGAGAGGACACTATACCTTACGTCAATATATCACAAAGTAAAATAAAACCTTAACTTTGCAACTTCCTATCTTTTTATAGCAAAGTTCCTAGGTCTCAAGTTTTTAATTCACAATCAAATTTTTGTACTAACTACCTGGCATACGAAGATGACTAACATAAAATATTTTGCCCCATATTGATAACAGTTATTACTTCTGGGAAGGGGACTGGGAGGGAGTCAGTGGTCAAAATGAATTAGGATTATCTGCAGTACTACAATTTGAAATTTTTTTATAAAAAGACAAAAATTCATGTATTACTTACACAATTAAAAAACAAACAAGCTCTTAAAACTGTACTTGGCTAGTGTACATTCTCAGAAATTCTTAAGTTTCAAAGATGGGTCTTTCAACTTTAGCTCAAATTCCATTTGAAAATGCTATAGTACTGTTTAATCTACAACTTAGCAACTAAGAATTATAAAATAATTAAACTCAATTTTCAATAGCTGAAATTTAAAAAACAAACAAACAAAAACAACCCCAGGGTGCCTGGATGGCTCAGTGGGGTAAGACTTGATTTCCGCTCGGGTCAAGATTCCAGAGTTGAGCCCCCAAGTTAGGCCCTGCGCTGAGCATGTAACCTACTTAAGATTTTCTACCTCCCCTTGTGCTCCCTCTGTCTCCCCGGTGCTTAAAAAAAAAATAAATAAAAGGCAACGACTGAACTTTATGAGTTAGTGACAAAAGAAAATATGTTGAACTACAAAAATGTAAAGATTCATAAATGAAAACCATTTTCCAACTTTAACAGGTACATACATGACGCTGAGTTTACTTTAATAATTCCTATGTGTAAAAGGAAAAAAACTGCCACTAAATGCAAAAATTTTGTCTTAATAAAAATAATTTGAAAAAAAAGTTCTCACACCAAGTTATGGGTTTCTGATACTGTTACACAAAGAAGTGATATTTATGTAAAATTTTTTTGTTTAAAAGTGCAATTGACTTTTACTTTAAAAACAAAAAAAACTTAGCACAGGGAACTTTTGGAAATCGTAATTATAAACCTCAACTAAAGGCCTTTCAATGAAATAATGTATGATGACTATAGTATTATATGAAAACAATGAAAATTACAAAATTTTCTTAAAAAGACATGATAGAGAGACACTCTCTCTCAAGAGTCGCTCATAACCACCAAGAGCCTTTATCTAATCCTTACCCTACTCTGCCTCTCTCTAGTTGTGACATTAAAAGATCTCCTGGCCTTCTGAGATGTGAATCTCTCCTATCTCTGTTCCTACATCCCTGATAAATTTTATCAATCTTCATTGAAGCCTCATTTTCCCTGCGTTTTCCTTATCTGCTCCCAGGGCAATTTCATTGGTTCCTGCAGAGTCTTCAAGTATCACTCAATGCTAATGACTCTCAAATTCACATCTCAAGCCCTTCTCTCTAAGCTTCAGATCTGTATTTCCAACAGTCAACTAAAGTGTCCACCAAGATGTTTCCCAAGTAATACAAGTTTAACTTGTTTGAAATCAAAGTCATCCTTTCCTCTTCCCATCCTGCTGTGTTCTTTATCTCAGTTAATGATGGCCATAGAAACAATACCATTTTTAACTTTCCTTTCTCACAATCCTTCATCCCCTTATAGCCCCTAAACCCTACTTGAAGCTTCTTCAGTGAAGTACATGCACTCATTCACATTCCCACTGCCACTGCCCTTTGCATCTCATTTGATTATAGCCTCCCTGACTCTAATTTCTCTACTCTAAACCATAAACTACAGATCACATATGTAAAGTGTGTATATATATACTTTAAAAGAACATATATACATATATATACATTTACATATGTAATCTATAGACACTGAGTTTGTATTTTGGAAGTTACTGCTGTAGGCCATAAAAAGTTGTTAAACTACAAAAGTATTCATGTATACATAGTCATATATAATTTTTAAAATGTTTTTCTTCTTTTTTTTTTTTTTTTTAAAGTTTTCTCATTCTTAAAAGGTTCAACATTACTGTCTATAGGATGAAGTCCAAACTTCTAAGCACGGTTTTTAGGGTCCATCACAACTTGGTCCCAATTTATATTCCCAGTTTCACTTCTACCACCCTCTTCCTAAGTAATTTATATATTCCAGTAGATACACCACAAACATGATTTGTTTTTTCTCCTCTAATTCTGCGAATCCCTATAACCTGGAAATTTCTTACTTTTCCTACTTAGGTAGTCTGTTAATCCTCCACCAAACAAGATTACCTGTTGTCTGTGTTCTCAAGTACTTTGTTCATATCTCTAGCCCAGATCCAATTACAATAAATTAGAATTAGAGTACAAGTGTACCTCTCTGATAGCCTGGGAATAACCTGAGTTGTCTTCTTTGTATGCCACACAGAAGTGTTTGTAAATGTTGGTTTCACTGAATTGAGGATGGGACCTCAGGGGTCTGCTAGAAAGAAAAGAGTCTGCATATACATAAAGAACTCAGAAGAAGAAAGACAACTAGGATAATACAAAGTCATTAAACTCGAACTGTATTTTCTCTGGCTTTCAACAAGGTGAAAAAGCAATCAAAAAGAGTCAAATATGACAAAGAGGCAGATAAGGATTCAACACTATGAAAATGCCTTTTGTGACAAAGAAAAAGTATTTGTTATGTGTACAGCTGACAAAAGTTAACATATTTAACAAATAAGTACGCATAAAAGTAAACAAATCCATCCAAATGAAAAATGGGCATGACAATGAAAAACTAGTTTATAGAAGAAAAATATAAAAGACTAATAAACATACAAAAAATTCAACAAATTCATTGATAATCAAAAAAATACAAGTCAAAAAATATTATTTTTCACCTACCAAATTGGGAGAAACTTTTTTCAATGCTAATATCCAAGAATATCCATGATATGGTGAAATGATTATGCCCAGGCCATGTTTGGGGGAATTTAAATTACCATAGTATTTCTGGGGCCCAATGTAAAAAACACAGAGAGAAGAAATTTTAAAAATATTCATATCTTGGGGCACCTGGGTGGCTCAGTCAGTTAACCGTCCAACTCTTAATTTTGGTTCAGGTGGGATCAAGCCCAGCATCAGACTGTGTACTGACAGTGTGGAGCCTACTTAGGATTCTCTCTCTCCTTCTCTCCCTGCACCCACACCCCCCCCCCCCCACCAGCTTATGCCTTTGCCTGTGCATGTGCATGCACTCTCTAAGTAAATAAATAAACTTTTAAAAATAAATAACTAAAAATATTCATATCCTTTAACCCAGTATTTTCACTTCTAGGAATTTATTCTAAGAAAAAGAGACATACTAAGATGTATGCAAGAAGGATGTTCATACCAACACCATTTTTTTTAAAGTCTATTTATTTATTTTGAGAGAGTAAGAGAGCACAAGCAGGGGAGGGGCAGGGAGAGAGGAAGAGAGAGAGAATCTGAAGCAGGCTCTGCACTGTCAGCACAGAATCAGATGCAGGGCTCGAACTCACAAATCTTGAGATCATGACCCGAGCTGAAATTAAGAGTCGGATGTTCAACTGAGCCACCCAGGTGCCCCAGGAGCTCATAGCAACACCATTTAGAGAATCAACAATCTGAAAACATAAGTGTTCACCAACAAAGAGGTGGTTAAAACAATGTATTTCTTTACAGAGGATATTTAACAAATAATTTTAAAAAACACTTAATGACAAGGGAAAAGGATCATTAGATGAAAAAAGGAAAAAACTGAATAGTGCAATGTAATAATATAAATACAGAAAATAAAGGGAAGAAATATACAAATTATTAACTAGTTATTCCTGTGCACAGCCACTACTGATCACTGAGAACATGTAATAGCTTTAGAATTAAAAATATATATACTGTTTTTAAAGGTTATTTGATTTCCTCTAAAAGGATTCTAGCAAACTTCAAAAAAGGTTTGTCAGGAAAATATAGAAGCCAGATTACAAAGATTTAAAAACAAAGTAGCAATAAGCAGAAGGATACAAACCATTTGTTAAGAAGTTCAACAGCAAAAGCGGAAACACATTAGATGGTAGTTAAGAGAGGACAAAGTCAAATAAATCATTTAAAAAAGTCAAATTAACCATTTAAACTGTAGAAGACTTGAGCATATTTCCAATCAGAAAGGAGAAATGGAAATGACGAAATTCACAATACTAAAAAGCAAGAGGATAATACATGCAAATTACAGACCTCTACCTGTTATTAAAATACAGACAATGGTACAAAGACCATGAATCTGACACATACATGTCCATTTAGCTTTGTTCTACTCCATGCCCACAGAGCATACCCCAGCCTTAGACAATTATTTAAGAAATAGAGTTCATGGTCACCAATAGAGCCAGAGAGAAAACATACGTCTACATTAAAGCAAATTATTACTTCTATTAAAAAAGCTTCAAAAATAAATGTTCTTTGGGAGATAAAATACTGCGATCTTTGTATAAAAACATTCTTTGGGGGCGCCTGGGTGGCGCAGTCGGTTAAGCGTCCGACTTCAGCCAGGTCACGATCTCGCGGTCTGTGAGTTCGAGCCCCGCGTCAGGCTCTGGGCTGATGGCTCAGAGCCTGGAGCCCGTTTCCGATTCTGTGCCTCCCTCTCTCTCTGCCCCTCCCCCGTTCATGCTCTGTCTCTCTCTGTCCCAAAAATAAATAAACGTTGAAAAAAAAAATTAAAAAACAAACAAACAAACAAAAAAAAACATTCTTTGAACCATTCAGCAAATACTTACCAAGCTTTTACTAAATGTAAGGCACTCTGTGAGTGATGGTCTCTACCTTCATAAATATCCTATTAGACAAGATACTAAACAAAAAACTGATGAACAAGTGTAATGAATACTAACGAAAATGGCCCTACAGGTACTTTGGAAACATGACACCATGATTAGGGGGAGATCAGTCACGACACCTCCAAAGCATTACCTAAGCTGAGCATACAAATTAAAAATAAGATTCACAAACAAACATGAAGAGTAAAGGATTAGAAATATTGAACATATATTATTTTGTTGTTTTCAATGCTTTATATTTAGAGAAAGAATTAACAGAAACACCAACACTGTGATTAAAGATAATTATGAACAGTACATACCTATACGAAGGTCTCTTTGTAAAACATTCTTATCATAAACATAGAAAGACAAATACTGGAAAGTTCTTGGAATCTCAAAGTAAAATTCTTCACTGAAAAATGGGCTAGAGAGAAAGGGGGAAAAGCTCATTAAATTTAAATTTGACAGTGTCCTCAAACAGTATTTTCAATAAAATAAATTACAGACTAAAACATCATAGGGAAAAGCTTCAAAAGCCCAAAATTATTCTCTATGCTAAGTTCCAACTAAACCTTATACAAACCAAACTAAACTCTGAGAGGACCTCAATTGCTAGGCTGAGCTCTAAACAGCTTTTCAGAAGTCCTATGGACAGAAGACCCAATTATTGCCTAGGGTCATGTACACCTCAAGTGGACACAATGAGCTGAGGAGAGTGTCCTTCACAACATCATCATCTCAGAAATATGTATAGCTTTATTAATCACAATTGACAACACAAAAGGATAATGTTTTGAAAAGTATTATTTTAAAATATACTTAAGAAATTACAATGGGTTATTTTGAATCAACTTAAGTTATACATTACATATAATGAAATCCAATTTAAAGTACAGAGGTTAATGATTTGACAAATTTATAAACCTGTGTCATCTCCATCCCAGTCAACACATAGTAACACTTCTGTCTCCCAGAAGGTTTCTGCATACTCCTCTGCAGTTATCCCACCACACCTGACACAGGCAACCAGTGATCTGATTTCTATTATACAGATCTGTCAAAGAATCCCATATAAATAGAATTAAATAGTATGTACTCTTGTGTCTAGCTTCTCTCACTCAGCTTAACAACTGAGATTTTTCAATTTTGCTCATGTGTTTTAATTGCTGCATAATATTCCCTTCATGAATATTCCACAATCTATTCTCCCAGTCATGTCATGCAAGTTGTTTCTAATTTGGGCTGTTAAAAAGAAAGCTGCTATAACATTTTTATAGAAGGTTTTTTCTGAACATATGCTTTCAATTATTTTGGGTAGACAGCTAAAAGAGTGAATTGTTAAGTTAAAAGGTAGATGAATTTTTAATTTATAAGAAACTGCTGTCAAACTGTTTTCCAACACCTGTGTCCCAAACAAATGTGTACCATTTACACTTTTATCAGCAATGCAGGAGGGCTCAAGTTATTTCATTGTCAAATTTGCTATTGAAAGTCTTTTTAAAATTAGCTATTCTAGTGAATGTGATATGATAAATTTTTACACCTGTGAAATTTCTACCCCAGTCAAGATACAGAACATTTCTATCTCCCCAGACAGTTCCCTTGTGCAATCACCTCCTCCATACTGTCACAAAAACCAGTGATCTGATTTCGATCATGACACATGTGTTCAAGAATCTATAGTGACAGAAATGGTCTTAAACTGCATTTCCCTGATGGCTAATGATGCTGAATATTTTTCATGTGCTTGTTGGCCATTTGTATATATTCTTTTGGGAAATATCTATTCATGTTTTCTCCACATATTTTAAATGGGCTATCTGTCTTATTGGTTTTGTTTTCATTTTTAAATAAGTTCTAGATACAAGTCCTTTGTCAGAATATTTTCTCCCAGCTGTGGATGGCCATTTCATTTTCTCGACAATGTCTGTTGAAGAGCAGAAGACTCTGATTTTGATGAAATCCGGTTTCTCAATTTTCTTCTTTTATGACTAGTGATTTCTACATCCTAAGTTAAGAATTCTTTGCCTATCCCCAAGTTGCTAAGATTTTCTCCTATGAAACCACTTATTTTTTTAATGTTTAAACTTTTAAAAAATGTTTTTATTTATTTTTGAGAGACAGAGCATGAGTATGGCAGGGGCAGAGAGAGAGGGAGACACATAATCTGAAGCAGGCCCCAGGCTCTGAGCTGTCAGCACAGAGCCCGATGCGGTGCTCAAACTCATGGACCATGAGATCATGACCTGAGCCAAAGTCAGACACTTAACTGACTGAGCCACCCAGGCGCCCAATGTTTATTTATTTTTGAGAGAGACAGTACCAGCAGGGGAGGGGCAGAAAGAGAGGGAGACACAGAATCTGAAGCAGGCTCCAGGCTCTGAACTGCCAGCACAGAGCCTGATGCGGGATTCGAACCCACAAACTGAGAGATCATGACCTGAGCTGAAATCAGACACTTAACTGACTGACTCACCCAGGTGCCCCCAAACAACTCATTTTTATAAGTTTATTTTAAGAATGTTATTTTGATGTTTAAATTCTTCTATAAAGACATGAATCTCTGAAATGTTAGTAAATATCTTTGTCAAGATCACTTCTTTCCTAAGAATGTTTAAAGAAATAAAGAATTCTTTGAAAATGTCACCAGAAAAAATGCAATCTCTTTAGGATGTCACAACTTAAAAAAAGAAACTGAAATACAAAGGAAAATACTCTTACAGAAGTTATTTCTGACCTTGTCCAGAAAACAGCTGACTCAGCTTTTTAGTTGTTTATAACGCCTGGTTAACTTTTGCCAATATGTTTTCCACTTCAAATGTAATAAAAATAAACTTTTAAAAGTTGGTCTATCAAAATAACTGGAGTCCTCTAATTAATCTCAACATAAAAACTGATACAAAAACAACTATTAGGCAAAGACATGACATGTTTAGGTATTTTCTCCTTTGCATCATTTTATAAACAATTATAAAATTGAGGATTTCCTTTATATGTCACATGCACGCACTCAAATGTTATTTTTAAAATACATTATAAAACCAAGTAAGAATACCACAGAACTATCCACTAAACCATCTGTTATCACTATATCACCACAATTGCAGCAAGTTAATCCCCACATCTGGGTGCCCACATCTTTAATTAATTAATCAATCTATCTGAAGAAAACTTCAATGAGATTGGTAAGCAGCAATGACTAGACTTACACAGTTTTTAAAACAACACTCTATTGCTATCATTGACATATGATCATGCATATGACTCTTAAGGAAATTCCTGGGATGGGAAAGAAAAGCACTAGGCACAAGCAGTATTGCTATTTCTCAGTTTGTTTATACCATTCGCTCTTCAAAAGGATTTGAGTTAGAAATGTGGGAGCTATAGATTTCATATAGGACTCTTCCTTACCCATTATGAAAACCTGTATCCAGGCTGCCTATAAAAACTGTACTATCCAGAACCCATAAGATCTAAATGGTATCTACTGACTTATCAAAATAAGGGGAAAAAACACTGACATGAAAGCCAGGGGGGCAAAGCTTTATATTACAGATTCTTTCACCTTATTCCACAAGGAAAATGCTAGGGGGCACCTAGAATCCAAGAAGCACCTAATCTAACATGTGAAATAACCTAAGGTAACCACTGTTAGTCTTAAAATACCTTCCAAGTTGCTATGCATCTAGAAAAATAATTTAAGATGGATAAAAATAATTGGTTTCATCATCTTTCCACAACACAAATATCTAGAAAGGCAAGAGTTAAAAAAAAAAAAAGTAAGCTAATTTTAGTCACTAATTTACAAAGCTACATATTTGAAACTACCACAAGTATTCAATTTATGGACAATTACTAGCTCTGTATATCACTGATTTTTGTGCGATATGGAATCAGTGTACATTGAGTAACAAACTAAGAGTTGTAACAGTTTCAGGTTCCAATCTCCAGTTTGCTTCCAACTTCCTATATTATACACACAAATTATTCAGCCTTTTGGTGACTCGGTTTCATCATGCATAACATATAAATAACAAAATTCTAATACAACAGGGACAGATGATTTATGACTAAAGACATGAAGTATATTACTTTAAATTTTGGGGGGGTTACTGAAGTACTTTCAGCTTTACACAATCCTTTCCTATGAAGAACACTAGAGACATTCAAAATTATAACCACTGACAATAAAGATAAAAGGGGAAAAGCCTCAGAGAAAAAAGGGCAAGTTTAAAGAAAATAGATTATGAAAAAGAACACCAAAAAATAGATTTCCTAGGGGTGCCTGGGTGGCTCAGTCAGCTAAGCATCTGACTCTTGGTTTGAGGATCTCACAGTTGGTGAGTTCGAGCCCTGCCGTTGGGCTCTGCTCTGACACTGCAGAGCCTGCTTGGGAATTCTCTCTCTCCCTCTGTCTCTATCCCTCTTTTGCTCATGCTCTCTCTCAAAGTGAATAAACTCTTAAAACCAGATTCCCCAAAAAGTTTACAGGAGTCATGACACTTAGTAATTCATTCATCACACGTTCATTCCAACAACTCCCCATGCCTTTATTTTGACTCTTATCTCTGTCCAAGACTGCGTCCTGTCAGCACAGCTCTGTGCTAGAATTATGCCCACAAATGCTATTACAGGGCAGAGGTGGCACACTCTAATTTTATGAATTAGAATTTATTAGGATACTCTCAAAGTGCTATTACACTTTCCAAAAATGAGAAATTTACGTAAGAATCCATTCCCTGACAATGACTTGTGCAACTCTCAGAAGTAATTTATTCTCAAGAGAAATAAAATAATGAGGTACTCTGAGAAAAGTTCAAATAAATAGGCACAATTTAGCCTAGAGAACAAACTGAGGTGTATTGATAGTTGTTTTCAAAAACTTGAAAGATGTCATGTCAAAGACAGATTAAGGTGTTTTCCAGAAATCCAAGGGAGGATTAGGAACAATTAAAAGGAAGATATATTTTGAAGCAATGAAAAGCCACATGAAAGCCAGCACCGCATCTATCTTGTTCTCATGAATATAGGAATAAACAGCACCCAGCCAGCTCTCGGCATACAGTAGGTTCTCCTTTTGATAGACATTATTTCACTAAATGTAAGAGTTTCCTAAGGATCAGAATAGTTCTAAGAACAAATAGTCTGCTTAAAAAGCAATGAACTCCTTGGTCACTGGAACAAACATTATTAAGCAAATGTCAGATGACCTCTTATCAACGATAATTGTCAGAAGGAACAAACCGTAAGGCAGTTGATTAGTCCAGCTCAAAAAACATTAAAGCTCCCTCAAACTCTGAGATTCTGTAATTCTAAAAACAAATCCAGGGGCGCCTGGCGGCGCAGTCGGCTAATCATCCAACTTCGGTTCAGGTCTTGATCTCATGGTTCATGAGTTCAAGGCCTGAATTGAGCTCTGTGCTAACAACTCAGAACCTGGAGCCTGCTTTGGATTCTGTGTCTCCCTCTCTTTCTGCCCCTGCCCTGTTTCACTCTGTCTCTGTCTCTCTCTCTCTCAAAAATAAATAATAAACATTTAAAAAAATTTTAATAATAAAAATAAAAATAAAAAATCCAGAATGTAAAAGAAAAGTTTCAGGGGCGCCTCGGTGGCTCAGTCGGTTAAGCGTCTGACTTCAGTTCAGGCCACGATCTCACGTTCCGTGAGTTTGAGCCCTGCGTCAGGCTCTGGGCTGATGGCTCGGAGCCTGGAGCCTGTTTCCGATTCTGTGTCTCCCTCTCTCTCTGCCCCTCCCCCGTTCATGTTCTGTCTCTCTCTGTCTCAAAAATAAATAAACGTTAAAAAAAAAATTTTTTTTTTAAAAAAAGAAAAGTTTCAGATAAACGAAGTATTCTTGATGATTACAGTCTGGAAAAAGTATAAAATTTATTTATTAATATATATCATATGAAAGATAATTTATGAATTTTTTACAAACCTTAAAGACTTTTCAACAACTTGGGTACGATAAACTTCTTCCTGGTCCAAATTTATGGTGCAGAAACAATCTCTCATTTTGTTGGGTCCAAGATATGGCAATAAATTTTTTGCTTCACCTGTTGGCACAAAAATTAAAATTGGTGTTAAATACCACCAGCTGCTTCATGCTAAGCCTTATAAAGGATGAATTCAATTCAAAAGAATATTCCAGAGATAGCACAAAAAAACTCCTGATTATAGAAAGAAGCTGATCAATTTGGGCTAAAGGCATCCAGTGATGGGGCACCTAAGCAGCTCAGTCAGTTAAGCACTGGACTTTGGCTCAGGTCATGATCTCACGGTTCATGACTTCGAGTCCCACATCAGGATCTCTGCTGTCAGCAGGGAGTCCACTTGGGATCCTCTGTTTCCCCCTCTCTGCCCGTCCCCTGCTCAAGCACACATGCTCTCTCTCTCAACAATTAATAAACGTTGGGAAAAAAAAAAAAAAGGTATCCAGTCAGACTGAAAAGAGGAGCTGGGTGTAAAGGGGAGTGTGAGGTCATATTACATCATGGTGTCCCTGCTCGCGGAAAAGGGCAACTCCCCCACTTGTCCTCTCCATTCCAATCACCAGTGCCACTTCAAAGGCTTGACTCCACAATTAATCCCTCTTTCCTGTATCATCAATTCTCCTCTCTAGTGGATCATTCCCATCAGAACGAAAACAAGCTTTAGTATTTCCCAATTTTAAAAGAGCACAAAAAGAAAAAAAATCTCCTGTGATTCCACATCCTTTCTTGTGGTATCATTCCATTTCTAGACTCTCTTTCATAGCAAATCTTCTCAAAAGCAATCATCTCTTGTCACTGTTTCTAATTTCTCACTTTCCATCCATTCTTCAACCCTCTCCCCAGTCAGCCAGCTTCTAACTCCATGATGACACACAGCAACTGTTCTAGCTAGGGTTATCAATGCTTTCCATGTTGCCAAATCCAGTGGTCATTTCTCTGCCCTCATCATACCTGATCTGGTGGCACTATTTAATAATAGTGAACACTAACATCCCTCCTTAAAATGTCCTTTTCTTGGCTTCTCCAACACAATTATTTCTGGCTTTCCTCCTACATCCCTGGCCCTCTGTTGACTTCTTTCCCTCCTCACCTCTAAATGTTGCAATGCTTCAGGACTCAGATCTGGACCACCTTCTCTTCTTTGCCTGTGCAAACCCCTTCAAGTATGGTGTTAATGCAGTTGCTTCCTAGGTCTGCATTTCTAGGCCTGATCTCTCCTCCTCAACACTGGATGTGAATATCCAACTGCCTCCTTGGATATCCAGTAGGCATCTCGGATTTAACAAGTCCCCGACAAACCATCTGACTTCCTCCCCTAAAACATGCTCTTCCCCCAGTCTACCACCATCTTACTCTCTTTTTCTCATCATCCTCCCCAAAACTCCCCCACATCCAACCCACCAGTAAATCCAGCAAACCTCCAAAACACATCTCAAATCCAACCACTTCTCCTTGCCTTCTCTGGTATTACCCTACCATCCACTCTCCACCAGTGTGATCATCTGAACATATTCTTCAGGTCGGTCACTCCCCTGCTCCAATACCATTCCATTTCACTTAGAATACAATCTGACTTCTAAATTCCCATTCTCATGATCCACACAGCCCTACCATTCTCTCCTCTCTGACCTCTTTTCTTCCCACTCTCTTCAGTGTTCACCCTTTTTTCATTCACCAACCATGCCAAACTTGGTCACGTGGAGGGCCTCTGCCTGGAATGCTCTAACTCTACAGCTTCCCATGGCTGGCTCTGCTTTTCCTTCAGGTTTCAGCTTAAATTCTCCTCAGAGAAACCTTCCCCAACTATTCTGTCTCCAGTAGATAACCCTGCTACCATAGCCTACTTCTGTTTTCTTGAAAGCATTTATAACTATCTGAAACTGCTAATTTTTACATGTTTATTTTCTGGTTCTCTCATTCTTGAGGCCTGAGAACTTGTTGATTCCCAAAATCTAAAATAGTGACTGTCATACAGTAGATATTTGAGAAATACTTGTTGAAGGAATACTAAGGAAGCCAGGAAGTCTAATTTTGAAGTTCTTTTGAGATACTCATGGTCCAAAAGCACACACAAAAGTGTGCACTGAAATCAGACACCAGTGTACTAAATTCAGAAAGCAAGGTAGTTGGCTTAAGGGAAACAGCACTGCCCTAAGAATTATGAAATCAATGCTCCTGTTTTACCCCTGCTACTATGTATCTAAATGGCTTCACACAAATCACTAAAGCACAGCCTTCTTGATGGAAATTTGGGCTAGATAAACTCAAGTCTATTTCTGCTTATCACTTTAAAACTAAACGCCACTTAAACCAATATATGTTAGCATAGTCTATCAGAAACTTAAGAAGCACCTATGAAAAATTCAATAAACAATTTTTTTTATTACAATGAGAAAATCAATGAAAAGGCACCAGCAAGATACTCATTAAGCTTGTCATTGAGCCAACAAAACTAAAAGGCAACCAACGGAATGGGAAAAGATAGGACATAGCGGACAAAGGGCTAGTATCCAAAATCTATAAAGAACACACCAAACTCCACACCTGAAAAACAAATAATCCAGTGAAGAAATGGGCAGAAAACATGAATAGACACTTCTCTAAAGAAGACATCAGATGGCCAAGAGGCACATGAAAGATGCTCACGTCGCTTCTCATAGGGAAATGCAATCAAAACCACACTCTACACCTCAGCAGTCAGGTGGCTAAAATGAACAACTCAGGACACTACAGATGTTGGCAGGATGTGGAGAAACGGAACCCTCTTGCACTGTTGCGGTGGGAAGGCAGTAGTGCTAGCCACTCTGGAAAGAAACAGTGTGTAGGTTCCTCAAAATTAAAAATAGACCACCTATGACCCAGCAGTAGCACTGCTGGATTACCCAAGGGATACAGGAGTGCTGATGCATAGGGGCACTTGTACCCCAATGTTTAGAGCAGCACTTTCAACAATTGCCAAATTAATGGAAAGAGCTTAAATGTCCATCAAATGATGAATGGAAAAAGAAGTTGTGGTTTATATACACAATGGAATACTACTTGGCAATGAGAAAGAATGAAACATGGCCTTTTGTAGCAACGTGGATGGAACTGGAGAATGTTATGCCAAGTGAAATAAGTCATACAGAGAAGCGTTTTCACTCTTACATGGATCCTGACAAACTTAACACAAGACCATGGGGGAGCGGGAGGGGGAAAAATGTTACAGAGAGGGAAGGAGGCAAATCATAAGAGACTCT